GAGAGAAGAGAGAGAGAGAGAGAAGAGAGAGAGAGAAAGAAAAAGAAAAGAAAAAGAAAAGAAAAAGAAAAAAGAAAGAAAGAGAAGAGGAGAAAGAGAAGAGAGAGGAGAGAGAAGAGAGAGAGAGAGGAGAGAGAGAGAGAGAAGAGAGAGAGAGAGAGAGAGAGAGAAGAGAGAAGAGAGAGATAGAGAGAGAGAGAGAGAGAGAGAGAGAGATAGAGGATATGATAGAGAGAGATAGATAGAGATAGATAGATAGATTAGATAGAGAGAGAGAGAGAGAGAGAGAGAGAGAGAGAAGAGAAGAGCGAGAGAGAGAGAGAGAGAGAGAGAGAGAGAGAGAGAGAGAGAGAGAGCGAGAAAAGAAAAAGAAGAAAGAGAAAAAGAAAAGAAAAAGAAAGAAAGAAGAAAGAAAGACGAAGAGAAAGAGAAAGAGAGGAGAGAGAGAGAGAGGAAGAGAGAGAGAGAGAGAGAGAGAGAGAGCAGAGAGAGAGAGAGAGAGAGAGAGAGAGAGAGAGAGAGAGAGAGAGAGAGAGAGAGATAGAGATAGAGATAGAGGATAGAGATAGAGAGAGAGAGAGAGAGAGAGATGAGAGAGAGAGGAGAGAGAGAGAGAGAGGAGAGACGAGAGAGGAAGAGTCAGCGTCAGAGAGAGAGAGACCAGAGTGAGTCAGAGACCAGAGAAGAGGAGAGAGAGAGTCAGAGACATAGAGAGAGTCAGAGACAGAGAAAGGAGAGAGTCAGAGAAACAGAGAAAGAGAGAGGAAGAGTCAGATTGAGAGAGAGAATACCATAATAGACTACATTTCACTGTAAACTTGCACTTTGATTACTCCAAGTGCCCTCAGATACGATGATTTCACAAAGCTCTTTATGTACTGTACATATACGGACAGAACGCTTACTTTCAACACAGCACATAGCGCCTGAAACAAACTCCTTATATCTAACTGCGTGTGATCTTCTTGAACATTCATTTTTCTCTTTCAAAAAACTCTACAATCCTGCTCTATCCGACTACTTAATTCGTCTCTTTAAAACCCTCCACACACACCCTTGTTATAATGCCACTAAATCCCTCTTTCAAAAACCTCAAACTCTGTATATGATTATCCTTTTCTAACTTTCTAAAACACACGCTGTTTAAACGATTACCGAATTCTCTCTTCCAAAAATGTTATTACATGCGACTACCCTTTCCCTTTAAAAAAACTACACCATGCTTATATAATGGTATACTTTCCTCTTTTCAATAAAACTTACTCCTGTTACAATACGGACTGGTCCACTCACCTTTCCCTAGCCCCCCCCCCCCCACCTACGACTACCTTTTTCCTCTTTTTCAAAAATCGGCAACCTCTCAGTCGACACCCCCAAAACTATAAAAAACTCTACCCTTTTCTTTCTCCCCAAAAAACCCCTACACCTTGCTCAAAACGACTCCCATTTCTCTCAACCCCCTCAATAAATACACCCTGTACAAACCCCAACCCCGCCTTTCTCTCTCACATTTCCCCAAAATCCCAACACCCTGTACACACCCCAACCCATTTCCCTGAACGTAAAAAAATCCACAAAACACCCAATAAAAACACTTAACCCCCCCCCTTTTCCTGAACCGACGACGGGCCTACACTCAAGAACAACACCCAAGACAAATGCACAAGCCTATAGACGCAGCAGCATCGAGATATATAGGTCTGTGATGACGTACGAGCCGAGATGTATGAGTGGTGATGATGTGGAGGGTGACGAGCAGGCCATTTCCGAGGTGTTGACACAGAAAACAGCGTCCAGTCATTATTTACAAACCTCCTGTGAACACAAAGGGCTAAGGCATGAGAGGAGGCGGAGGGAGGTTGGCAACCCCGAAGCCTTCACACAATCTACATGAATATTAAGACACTTCCTAACGATAAAAGTAATAATAAAATACACAAATAAATACTATAATATTTGAAGTCTTCCCTACAAACACACTAACAACACAATAACCCCCGAAAGGAGACGGAAAATAAGCATAAAACACACTGCAAAACCCTCTCTCTCTCCCTCTCTTTTGTTTTCTCCACCCGAGGAGAATGCAAGAGCTAGAGAACATTAAAGAACACTACATCATCGAAACCACCAGGGCGAGAAGCCACGCCGTTCCCAACCTTCACGTCGAGACATTTCATAAAAGCCGTGACGCAATCAGCTGTTGGAGGGGCTTGGAAGGCAAATTCTTCCCCATGATGGAAGAGGAAGAAGACAGGAGGGGGGAGGGGGAGGGTAGAAGGGGAAATGGGAGAGGGAGGACAGGAGGGGGGAGAAGAAGGGAAAAGGGGGTAGGGAGGGACAGTAGGAGGAGGAGAGAGAAGGGGAGGTGAGAAAGAAGGGATGAAAGAGAAAGAAGAAGAGGAGAGGAAAGAAGAGGTGGAGGAGAAGAGAAAAAGGAAGGGGTGGGGGAAAGAAGGAAGGAGAGGAAAGAAGCGTACAAGGAGAAAGATGGGGAAACAGCGAAGGAGGGAACGATCGGGTGAATGAAAGAGGGGCGAGAAGTGAAATCCGAAAACGAATGAAAGAATAGGTGGAATAAAAACTGGGAAGAAGGGGAGATGAAGGAGTCAAGGGAGAAAGGTGAGCGAGAAGAGACAGCCACCGACGCGGCCATACTGCTCCTGGCTCCTTCCGCCGCTGATTCACGCGAGGTCAATGACCTTGCTTGGCCTCTCGACAACAGCCCATGACGCCACTACACGGAGAAGAGGATCATGACGTCATCACCAACAAGACGGGACGGGACAGGCAAGCAGTGACGTCACCAGCTGGTCTCCTCTTTCCACCTCTCACCTCCTCCTCCTTCCCTCTCCCTCTCCTTCTTTCTTTCTTCTTCGTCTTTGCTTCTCCTTCTAATTCACTTTTACTTTCATCTTCACCTCATTCTCATTCTCCATCTCCTTCCCCCTCTCATTTTCCTCCTCTTCTCCTCTTTTTCACCTTCACCATTTCTTCTCCTTCCTTCTTCCTTCACCTTCACCTTGGCTTTCCTCCCTCCTCCCTTCCCTCTCCTTTCTCCTTCTCCTCCTTCTTTTCTTCACCTTCATTCCTTAATCTTACATCATCCTCCTTCCTCCTCCTCTCCTCCCCTCTTCTCCTCAGTTCCTCCTCCTCCTTCGTCCTCCCTGAATTCCTCCTCCCCATCCTTCTACTCCTCGCGACAAGGACACAGACTGCGTTCTTGATAGCGTTGGATTAAGTATTATTATCCTTCCCCCCCTTCCCCTCTCCCCTTCCCTTCCCTCACCCCTCCGCTTGTTTTTATATCTGTTCTCCCCTTTTGTCTCGACCTACATAACTCCTGCCCGATGCGCCCTCCCTGACCCCTGCCTTATCTGCGTTCACGACGTGGTTTTCTTCGTCTCTCTCTCTCTCTTTCTTTCTCTCTCTCTTCTCTTCTTTCCCTCTCTCCTCTCATTTCTCCCCTCCCCCCCCTCTCTCTCTGTGTCTGTCTGTCTGCTCTCTCTCTCTCTTCTCTCTCCTCTCCGTCTCTCTCTCTCTCTCTCTCTCGTCTCTCTCTCTCGTCTCTCTCTCTCTCTCTCTCTCTCTCTCTCTCTCACTCTTCCTCCCTCTCTAATTCCTCCTTCCTCTCCATTTCTCCTCGTCTAGTCCTCCTTTCTCTCCATCTTTTCTCTTGTCCCTGACTCCCCTCCTTCTCTTCTCATCTCTTCTCTCAGCTTTCTCCATTCTCTCTCTCCTCTAAATTACATAAAAGCGCACACAGTTCTTCCCGAATAAGCTGTTCTTCACTATCAATTTCTTTCGCGTTCTCTCTTTCCTTCTCTTCTCGATTTTCCTTTAAGAAAATAAACGAAACGAGCAAGGGAAAGGTAATAAACAGTAAAGAAAAAAAATGAAAAAATAAGAAAAAGGACAAGAAGCGAAAAAAAAGCGACGAAGCGAAAACACCGAAAGCCAGAAAACGAAAAGAAAAGAAGAAATGAAGAGAACAAAAAAAAACAAAACAGAAAAAACTTGAAAAAAGGAGAAAAAAAAAGTTCCGAGTTGAACCACCTCTTCATCTTCCCCGGTGTCGACCTTCCTGCCTCCGCGTTTGACACATTCCTCGTCCCGCCATTTGTCACATCTGCCACCTTCCC